TGCTGTCAGTTATTTCTGGTGTGGAAAGGCTGTCACGCTTTTTGCTTTGATTTAACAATTCTCAGACCCACTCTTGTGTTCAACAGGCTATATTTCCTACTGCGCTTGGGATATAACCACTTTTCCCATCATCGTGGGAGGACACTATCTCACTTCCAGCTGCACTAGGAAGACGTATCCACTCTCTGATGTAACTTGAGAGCCTTGAATCATCTACCAGTACTGTTTATTAATGAACTATCACGACTTCTCTTTTTTCTCTACATTATTTGTAGCCCTAGTGGAGGATGCCACACTTGTATCTGAAGAATGACTAGTATGATGCTTTTGAAAGAGGGAAACGTTACCTTCAACAGCTTAAGTGGAAAAACATTGCGTGCTGCAGGGCTGTAGTGTCTGTTTCACTCTGCTTGTGGGATTACCTGAATATCATTCTTCAGGAGCTTATGTCATGAGATTTCTTAACACATGCAATCACGGAGGAAAAGAAAATGGAAATGAAAAATATATTCAGCTCTGAGGCATTTAAATAGCACAGTTTCAGTGGTCATCTCTGAAGTGTAAAGGAAAAGAATAAGAGGCGTATCTTTAACATGAAAGCTGAGTTTCTAGCAGAGATGGGCACTTTAATGGTGTCTAATTGATTTATGCCACATTGAAGACAGTAAAGACAATGAAATGACAATGACATTCTATGACTGTCATTTCACTGAACAAAAATTAGATGGGAGAAAGTTCCATCATTTCAATATCGTGCAGAAAACTGTGAAGAGAGAAAAGAGATTACATGGACAATCCAAGGTCCCAGAGAGCACACAGTGGACATTTTAAAAAAATAAATAGATAAAAGAAAATGGAAAGAAAAAAACCCATACTAAAATGTAGGGAAGAGATTCCACATGTAGTGCTAGACTGTTTAAAAATGGACATTTTATTTAAGACAATAGAAAAGTCTTCACTGATGGTCCTGCCCTTCCAGCAGGACTCATTGCATAAGAAGGGCTTTGAGGCACCTGAAAGTATCTGAGCACATACCTGACCAGGTAAAAGCCTTTTACAGTTTGGATTTTATTGACATACGATTCACCACAGTATTTATACAGGCAGACACTAGAGAGCTAGAAGGACAGGCAAATGCTCTAGCCGTCTAATAAATGAGCTTGTTTCCTTAGTTGATTTTCACTGCAAGTTCTGCATGCGTGCATACAAGTTTACATAGGAATGAAACAATGTAAGATCCACAACATGTTATATTTGCTCTAATTTATCTTCAGAAGCAAACAGTGTCAAGTGCTTGGAGGAAGATACAGAATCAGTGGAAAGAGCAGCTATGAAGTCAGTCAGGAAAGCTTCTTCCTATTAGATATTGCTTGCATCTAAAGCAAAAGGATGAATGGTTACACAGAATAGCAGACAGACAAATGATCAGACAGGAAACCAAAAAATTCATGGGTGAAAGACTAGGTCTTTTAATCTCCTCACCTATGAAAGTGTGTAAGTAAATTCTTCCATTGCCATTCCTCAAAGTGGTTTGCTAGATTGGGTAACTGGGTTCAAAATTTACAAGATTGGGCCCTGATAGGAACACGTTCAGTGTCACTTACGAGTTTGGGAACGTTGGCCATCAGAGAAGCTGAGTGGAGACACTGCCATATCCATGGGGCATTGGCCACCGTTACACTAAAAAAGGAACCTTTAAATGGACAGATACAAGACAGTGATTGCACTCTAATCCTCACCGAAGACAGTCATTATATTAGCCTGCATAAAATAGCTAACAGCATACAGATGTATCCTACTGTCCTATTTGTCATTTCAATGTAAATTAAAATCACTTAATGTTTGCAAAGTGTTTGTAAGATGAAAAGATGTGTCAAGTATTACAGTTTAATATGTGATATTACTATTATCATATTACTTAGAAAAAATAATTAGCTTGAAATACAAAGATACTGATGTGAGATAAGCCTCTGAACCTACTGAGGTTCAGCTATCACCAGCAAACATATGATTGAAACATACTTCCGTACGCTAAAAGCTGCTGGCTATTATAGCTTAATTGACCAAAAGTAATGTTTTCAAAGCCAGTTAAGGGCTTTTTGAAAATGTTACTTGAGCTCTCGAGCAACTCCAGCATTTTAAAATACTTTCCTAAGCATTTCGTGTTTGTATATTATATCCTATACCTATTACATAGACATACACACTCTCATTTACCCATCCTTAAAGGCGTAAGATCCTTTCACAGAAGACAATCAACCTGAATTCATCTCTGACTGGGAATAGCTGGTGGCTATAAAGGAGAAAACACTTCTATTTAGCCCAGAATGAGCACTGTACAAACTGGGGGCTCAGTAGGCAAGTCAGTGCTATGTTGCTTCTGTCTTGTTACAGTCTGATGTTAGGCAGCTAATGATGCAAAGAAAAGTTATTATCAAATACAAAGATGATAGTCAAAAGACTCTTATGACTGAATCGCCAGCAGAGAGCTCCAGTAAAGCCTTCACAGCAGAAGGCTGCAGACAGCAGCCTCTGCGTCGCACATCAAGCAGGTTTGGTCATGAAATTCAGGCACAGTGTTACACATCATACCATACAGAAGAGAATAATCATGCAGTATGATGGAAACCACCAGCTTTTGGGCCATATGCTAACAGCAAGCCTAGTCATATGATGGAGAAGGAGGAAGCGTGCAGCCCTCTCACTCCTGCACAGAAGCTGTTCAGTCCCAAAGCTACACAAAAGCCTTTCTGTTCATTGAAATACAATTTGAAATAGCCTGAATTTAATACATATCCCTTTGCTACCCCACAAGGCAGTTCCTCCATTCTCACTATTCAGCAATGACTTCATAGTTTTCACTAGACAGCAGAAAAATTCTCATGCATATCAAAAAAACAGAAAAAACATTACATTTAAGTTTTGTACCTGACAAGTTTTCAAGAGAGTTTCAATAGGATGAAGACATCCTTCTGCTTTTTAAAGCATCTAACACAATTTAGACATTGCCACAAAATAAATAGCAATAAAACCCCTCAAATCTTCTTGCTGAATTCTGACAGCCTCTCAAGTTTATTTGTAAAATTTAATCGCACTCAATGTGTTGGATGTAATTGGCTAAAATGACTGCAGTATATTTCAAATACATTCCACACAAATTAAATTTTCCCAGCTAGTAACCACTGTGGCGTTTGTATTTTTACAATGGTATTTGTTTTACAGATGGAATATGATCTTCTAATAGCTACTGACATATCTATATAGAGACAGGTTTAATTAGCCTCACCTTTTTATAGGCGATCCAGTCAAATACTCTGTCAATGTCTGTGGCTTGCTGCACCTCCTGGGATACTGGATGTGAACTGGCCAAACCATCCAGCAACATCACTTCATGCAGGACATCTGTCAGAAATCTCTGCTTTTCCTGAAATACAGCACATGCAGTAATATTGCAGACAAATACACATTTACAACAATACAGAAACGATGCACAGTTACCAGAGGTAGCCTCTATATGACTGTTGACTAAAATCACATCTTCTGGTCTGAATGTAAGCCACCATGACCTCCTACAATCTTCAACAGGTATATACACTAGACAGGAACGAATTCTAGCATCAGGGATCCCTCTGACTTTTTGCTGCAATGACAGTTGACTGAAATTACATTAAAGACTATTAAATGAATCAAAACGTATCTGTCGGTGCACACTGCAATTCTGATTACAACTATTCCCTCACCATTAAGAGCAGTGGGGAGAGAGGAGAAATAGCATAGTCTTCAACCACAGAAATACAGGGATGCTACGAATCGTAGAGCTTATTGCATACGCAGGTGGGAAAACTTTTGACAGAGATGGGTAAATACAATTATATTACTGCTTTATTTAGTGAGGTTTAAGTCACTTGGCTCTTAATGCCAAGTTCACATGGCAGGTCAAGGTGGTACAGGACAATGAACAGTGCCCCACAGCAGTGTCACAGCAGATGTCTGCATTGTCTTTCATAATTCTGGTATAGAAATCCTTTCTCCTCAAGAGCTTTCATGCTCTACAAACTTCGTCACTTCTATCTGAAGGAAATCGTTATTATGTCTCTTTATAAGTGGGACAATAGCTGCATGTAGAAATTAAATGACATAGTCAAAGTCACAGCTACATCAAAGGCAGGTACAAACCTAAGCAACGTCCAACATGCTAATTTGTTTCTATGCCTTCTATAGATATGGATTGCAGACGTATGTCAAAACTGCTGCATATTTACTCCAGCAGCAATATTAATTAAATGTTCATGTATACTCTATGAACTGTGCCACATTCACTTTTGCAGTGCAACTAGAGGGGACTTTTTCAGCTGAGAATTGACATGCCTTAAAGACTCCTCATATTGCATTCATATATGTCTCTAATCAAAAAGCCTGTATCAGGAAAGAAAAGCTTCATTTACTTGTATTTTCAAGTCACAAATAAACACAAAAAGTGAATTAAAATTATGGAAGGTTTAAATAAGCTTTTTTCACCCTGAAATAACATATAGTGAACTTTATCTAAATTACAACAGTTCCTTGATTAATGTCAATCTAGTGCCATAATACAACGAAACTCTAGGGAATGGTGCATTTTTTTTTAAAAAAAGCCACCTTGATGTCCACAGATAAAATAACCACACAATTACATAATAAATTCTATGTTTAATTTCTTGGGTGGCAAGGTTTTGGTATCTATGTGTTAATTTAAATTATATTTATAAGACAGCTGAAAAGCTGTTCCAGTGCTGATCCATCTGGAAATAAACCTTTATGTTAAAATTCATTAGAGCACAAGAAATGTACCTTGAGCTGATTGTATATTCAGGCAATTAAAAACACAGGATGCAGGAAAGCCAATTACCCAACACATTCTTAGTGTTCTCAGCTGGCTGCATGAGGTAAGGTTTGTGAAGGGAAAAGTAATGTCTTGTTCAAATTATTGTTCATTTCCAAATTTTCTCAAGCATACACAGTTAGTAACTGCC